ACTTTGACAAATAAATCAAATAAATACTTTAGTAAGTATTTAATGTATATACTAAATAGGAATATACTTGGTATAATCAAATACCAAATATAATCAAATAAGTCAAAGTGTACATTTTTATTTGGTATTTAATTTTTTTATTATTAAAATCTTTTTATTATATTTATCTTTTTAAAATAAAATAAATAAATAAATCAATTAAATATATTATAATACAAAAAAAAAATGACATTTAATGCAGTTGACTTTTCTGGATAGTAAATAGAATCTCCTTTTATATAAGTATAGATTGTATAATACGGAAATAGTAATGTAATAAATATTGTTAACTTTTCTTTATACTAAATCTGGTAAATGTTATACCTTTTAATATAAGTATAGATTCACAAAAGGGAGTAATAATAGATGACATTAAAATTTCAACGCTGTTTGACAAATCAGATGACTAAGCCACGTAATTTATGTGTTGCCAAACACATGCATAAACATGGTTGATTGGTATTTGAATCTATATGAATCATTTTACAACTAAACAAAATGTGGTGATATATGGAGCAAAAGTACAAAATTCTTGATTTTATACCTACAAATTTACAAAAATATTCGTGACATTATCAGGGGCGAAACCAGAAAATTAATTGAGAGTGGGCAAAAGACATGACATAATTTGTAACAAAAATGCGTAAAACAAGTTACCTTATAATTACAATTGTTGGCCTTGTGAGTAGAGTTGTAAACGAACCAAACGTTCGCGAACAAAGGCTCGTTCGTTTGTTAATCGAGCCGAGTTTGAATAGAAAATCAGGCTCGTTTAATAATCGAACAAACACGAGCTCGTTCGTGAATGTTCGATTATGTTCGCGAACATTAATTTAATATAAGTTTATTTTATTTTTTATATATTTACATAATATTTTTAATAAAAAATCTAAAATTTAATATAATTTTATTTATTTTTTTATATCTATGTAATATTTTTATTAAAAAATCTAAAATATATTAATATTTTTATTTTATTCTTTTATTTTCAAGTTCGAACGAACAAATTTTGAGTTAATCAAACATATTTAAAAGTTTATGTATTATATTATTCGAACACGAACGAACTCGAACCTTGACGAACAATTAAACGAACGAACTCAAACACGATTTTTTGCTCGAAAAATAAACGAACGAACACGAACACGAGCTCGAACAGCCCAAGCTTAGTTCGGTTCGGTTCGTTTACAGCATTACTTGTGAATGACGTTTAAAAACAAAAAATCTGAGAGTGCAAAAAATAATTTTAGAGGGATGCAAATTAAAATTTTTAATTATAATAGTAAAATAAAATAAAATTTAAGGGGGGAAATTGCCCCCCTAAATTCGCCACTGGACATTATAAACTATTTTGCCTTTATTTATCTACATTATGTCATTTTATTAATTGCCCCCCTATTTATAAAGGTAAATTCGCCACTGGACATTATAAACTATTTTGCCTTTATTTATCTACATTATGTCATTTTATTAAATAATGCTTAGTTTCCACGCTAGAAAAATTCGTCATTGAAGGCCAGAATCATGACCGGAGGCACACGCTTTACAATTCCCAATTAAATGTACGACAAAATATATTTGGCCAATCCAGCTACTTCCAAGTGACATTGTAAGTCAAGTGTAGTATAATATAATATAAGCATATGATGAAATTTGAAAGTGACTAGCAAATGTGTTCACTGTTCACATCTAAACTAAATCCATATATTTTATCATAAATAGTACAATTAAACTGTTAATCGAGTACAACAAATATACCTTTTTTTTCT